GTATCTGTTATTATCCAGTGTGTATCTCGTATTTATCCAGTGTATACCTTCTATATATCCGGTGTAAATCTAGTATATATGCAGCGTATATGTAATGTATGTCCAGTGTATATTTAGTATATATCCATGGTATATCTAGTATATATCCAGTGTACATCTGGTGTATATCCACTGTAAATCTAGTAGTTTTGAGTGTATATCTAGTATATACCCAGTGTATATCTAGTACCTGTCCAGTGTATCTACTGAAAAACACAGTTTGAATGTCAGCCATGATACTTGTATACTAGCGTTTTACTGTATTCCAACCAGCGTCACGGCGGGCCTTAAATAACTGACTGACTGACTTTCTTGAATCTGATGGGTGAAACTGGAACTTTACCAGCAGGAAGTGGAAGGTTTACACGTGTTATATCAATACTTCACTTGGTTGTTGTCAGTGCAGCTTGAAAACGGTGGAAGAATCTACTTCGTTTTTATTCGGGAGTGAAGTGCTCCCGTCAGATGCACGCCAGAAAGCACAGACCTGCAGCCACCTGATGATACCCGTATACCTTAGTGCAGAATCATTAGGCCACTCGATCAACAATGTGCAGCAACGAGACCACCCGATCCCCAATGTACAGCAATGAGGCCACCTGATCCCCAATGTACAGCAATGAGGCCACCCGATCTCTAATGTACAGCAATGAGGCCACCCGATCCCAAATGTACAGCAATGAGACCACCCGATCCCCAATGTACAGCAAGGAGGCCACCCGATTCCAAATGTACAGCAATGAGATTGAGCTCAGCCGAACAACGATGTGCAGAAATGAGGGAGTTCCTGTCGTTCGGTGCCAAGCTGCAGCCTGAAACATGCATTATATATCTGAAACTGAAATATATTGTTTACAATGGTGTGGGTAATGACCTTCACACCTGTAAAATACAGATGAATGTGGCGTTATTGTATGACTTGTGTAAAATTTAATGATCTGTAACAACTGCAAAGTGTAGAGTAGCAAGTAAATATGTTCTATTACCTCTCTGTAACTTCAACCACGACGGCCTCGGCTGCCATGGTACACTCAAGGCGGCCCGTGATAAAAATCTACAGAGACAAAATTTTGATGTCATATCTGTTTGTGCTGAAAGTAAGGCCACTTGCTAAAGATCTGGAGGTTATTACAACATCAAACACGAAGTAATATTTAAGCAACATTAATTGATTGACCCTGGTATCAAAAGGCAAAGTTACATGTTTACAGTTGTGTTTAACAATGTCCGTGAACTCCAGATTAAAACACAAATGTCAACGTTTAGGTGTGTATTGTTTAGCATCGTGTGGGTCCTCCATCTGCATTGATACCTGCATGTACTCGTCGTCTCATTGACGTTGTCAGACGTCTGATGCAGGCATTTAGGATATTCCGCCATTCCTCTTGAATGGCCTGTTCCAGTTGTCTCAGGTTTGCTGGAGAGTTTAGTCTCATTCTGACTTATCTGCCCAGAAAGGCCCACATATGCTCTAATGTTGAAAGGTCAGGGGAGCGAGACGGCCAAGGCAAAACGTTGATGTCATTGGTTCCTATGAAGTCTGTCACAATCCGAGCTGTATGTGCAGGAGCATTGTCATGTTTGAATAATGTCCCTTGGTGTTGATCAACGAAAGGAAACACAACTGGCCGAATCACCTGGTCAATGTATTGTTGTGCTGTCAGGTTGCTGTCGAATTCTGGCATGCTGTAGTCGTCGGCTAACTGTATGTACGCTGACAACTTGACCGAGTGCGGTCACCATTTGCACAAATTTCACGATTTCTTTAACTCAAAGTATTTCTTTTCCAATGACAACAATATTGGAGTGTTTTGGCGATTGTTAAACTAAAGAAAATAAATTTCAACAATTTTGAATAAATTTCAAATATTAAAACCCAAATGGGACAGTTTCTTTTGGCCCTGAGTGTATGTACCTCGACGATGATTAGTGGGATCATTAGTGGGAGTACGTGGCTTTCCTTGATTTCTATTTCTGAGCAATATGTCCAACTTGACGGCAAATATAGCACTCTGAATCTTGTTAATAACAACAAGATGATGAATGTTTACCTCCACAGCGAAAACAGTCTACAATATTGTTGGTTTTTGAATAATTTCGTCTTCCCCAATGAATCCTATGTCCACCCCTCTGCATTTGGTGATGTACATGATGAATAGAAGATGTAGAATTTCCTGAAAGAAGTTGTAAATCCGCCGTATTCTGGGGACTGTGTGATGGAGGGAATCACTTTAGCATGATTACACAGTGAATTTGAGGGCTTTTCTTTATATGAATATCAATATTTGTTACCCAACATTTAATCCTGAAATGCATTTTTTGTAATTTCTTATTTTTAATTTTATGGACGCTTATGAAGCATGTTTAGAGGCAAAATGTTTACTTCCAATGTGTGAGGTGTGTTTTAAGTTTAGGGACATTCATTTGCATGTCCTGTGTAAGGTGTGTTAAAAGTACCTTATTCGTGCCCATGAAACAAGTTCAGGGACAGTTTATTTGCATATCCTGTTTAAGGCGTGTAAAAAGCACATTCATTCGTGCTTATGAAACAAGATTAAGAACAGTGTATTTACCTCTCTTAGGTGTGGATATTATATTGGTAACCACCTGGTGCCACATGAAGGTGGCCGAACAATGCCACGGTGAAGAATGTATAGGTTATATACAGTGTACGGGTCACCACGTGTCAGGCTTTTAGAGAGTAGTGAGAAAGGAGTCGCTTTCATTCTCTGACATATCTATCTTATACACACACGTTTCCTTTACTCTTAGGCCTGTATGTCTCTCTTGAGAGACCTGTGACACCGGGTGTCTGTATTGTAGAGGGTAGTAGGAAAGTGGGGGTCTCTTTCACTTCCTCCTGTGTCTACGTGGGTCTAGCATACACTAGTTGCTTTCAGCACTAAACTGTAGAGCATCAGAAATGATACCGGGTGTCAGTATATATGCTACAATGTTAAGATAAATACACACATACATTATTTCAGTGAGCATTGTTTTGCTGCATAGTGTCAGGGCTCACATACGTTTTTTTATTCACGTTTCTCAAGGCAACAGGCCCACAGTACATAACATTTCAATAGTGTGATTACAAATGAGTGATTCATACCATTTCATAGCAAAATATATCTTTAGACAAATTCACAGAAATAAGTTGGTGATTTGAAGACATAAGTCGAACAAATGTTTCAAATGACGGGTTGTTATAGTATTTATTATCAGCGTGTTGCTTTCTTAAGTCGGAGAAGGCACAACAGACGAGGATAAAATGGTGTTCGTTTTCAACAAGCTGGATATTATATTGAAGGCAATACCTGCATAAGCGGTACTCGATGTCTATGCCCAATCGTCTCCCATTTCGATCATTAATTAGCTGGTGACAGCGACATCTGAATCTGGTTAATGCTTGCTTCAATGGGAGAGAGCTGATTTGTATGAGATAAGATTCCGCATGCAGAACTGTCTTGTAAGTTGAATAAGATGCCAAGTTTGATTTAGATGATATTGAAGCCTGACATCGTTGAATGTTGTAGTCAAACACTCTTTGTTTGAACTCAGGCATGAAAATATCAATCTGTCCAACATCTTGCATAACCCATGCGTACCCAAATCCGAACTGGAATAAGATATGTTTGACTTTTGTGGCCCAAGAAGATCTGTTAATGTTGTCTAGTCCATATAGCATTAGATAGGTTTGCACCGGCAATCTGTCGTTATTCTTGTAGATTATTTTGGCTCAATATTTAACACATTTGGTTACATAAGAAACATATAATAGAGATCGTCCACTTTCATCAAGTACCGCATCATTACTGGTTGTCAGAGGCAGATGTAGAATTCTTTGATGAACTTTGTCTGCACCCTCTCAGTTTGTTCTACCACCTCATATCCCCAGAGCTTGATCTATAATCCGCCACACATATAGTGAAGTCAGTATCAGTAGACATACTTTCTTTTGTCTTGTGCTAACATCTTCGTCCACACTAGTTTTGGTGTAAAATGAAGTCCGTGATACTTATACATGTAATACGAAACAGTTTCTATCTGGGATCTCCTGTATGACTATTTTTCATATGAATGTAGGTATCCACGTATCCGGAATACTATGATTTTGGACTTATTCAACGTCAACCCCCATTTTCTACAAAAATTGCTGACACAGCTGATTTGGTCCTGGAGTTTTCCGGCAGAGCCCGCGCCGTTAGCAACATCATGGGCGTAGAGAAGTGAACATACATTAGGGAATTCCACTGATATTAATATTCCTTTACAGTTAGACGTTGACATTTCAGTGGCTAGTTCGTTGATGTATAAAATGAACAACAGTGGACAGACCATACAACCTTGGCGTGTACCAACACAGCACTGGGGAAATTCTGTAAGTCCTTTATCAGTACGGACACAAGACTGAAGCTTGGAGTACATATTTCTTAAGGCCGATGCCACATTAATGTATGATTGATGCTATCGAAAGCCCTGGAGAAGTATATAAAGAAGACGTACATTCTCCCACCAGTTGATTTAGACAAGTATTTTGCCATCATGTCCTAGAGAGAGAACATGTTGTCAACTGTGCTATACCCTTTCATAAAACCTGCCTAATTATCATGAATGTTGTTGTTTTCTGTGATCCACTGTTGAAGTCAACGGTTTAATATTTCAGTGAATACCTATCCAATCACCGGCCGAGCGAAATTCCTCTATAATTATTTGGATCAGTTAGAGAACCATTCTTGTGTAGTGGGCAGTTAATATTTTGCACCATCTCATTGGGAAATTACCAGTTGCCAATATGTCACTAAAAAGGAATGTCAAACACGCACGCCCCACACACACACACCACACATACATTATTTCAGTGAGCATAGTGTTGCTGTATAGTGTCAAGCCTCACTGCCTCTATCGTGTCAGTGTCGATATCGACCCTGAGCACTCGGCCTACCGGTTTGTAGATTACGGAAAGGCACGAGTTATACCGAATGTACTTGAAGCGTCATTTGAGAAGTGGGTTGCTGTTGTGTAACAGGTTAAACTTTGCCCAGTGTTTTACCGAGTTTGTCTTCGCCGTTATACACTGGACCTGTGTTTGTGAGGCGTCTTTGTAACCCACCCAGATATCGAAGGAGAAAACTGACACGGGTAAGTCAGCTTGCCAGTCTGTGCTAGATGAGAACATTCCAGCATGTTTTGTGTTTTTGCATGTCGTATGCGCTATGAGAGGTGTATGTGTTACACTTAGAGACGGTTAACCAGTATAGTCTTCACCTTCACCGGTAACGTTCACGCTGGTGCATGGACAGCATATCTTTTCCCTTGAACAATGATATATCAAATGTTATGTCCGTAAATATTTGTTCCGTGATTCCATGATACTTCAGTGATAACTATGATTGCTTGCAATGAAAAAATGAATCACAAGATGGCCGTTCGAAGTGAGGTTGTGGAATCAGCCGATCGTTCAAACAGGTGATGTTCTGTCGTTTCGCTGACGTTCAGCAATCGGCAGAGACAGTCTTAAAAACTGTACTAGATGTATGAATATCCCACTTTGAAACCTTGGGTGTATTTTCATTGTATACATACTCAAATTTATTTCGTATTTTGGATGATTAGTCAACATGTATACAATTCATTACGCCGGGTAGCTGATGCAATACACAAATTTCGAATTTCATCGCCCGAATAAGTTGGGATTTTTGACAACAACACTCATATTTAGCAGGTATATAACTTGGAGAAGTGAAAAACAATGTTCAAAGAATTGTAAAATATACAGTCGCGGACGAATAATGTCGATCATCACCTGCATACATTGTATCATAGTACAATGAGCAAATACGATTTAAAATTAGAATGGACATAGCTGTAATGTATCTATTTTGTTATGTGTAGGAGTTTATGGTGCATGGTGTATGAGAAGATTGTATGGGTGAATTGTGGATGTCTATTGCACATTTCTACAATGACTCCATTTGATTTATGACAACTTTTGAATAGAAGAAAAAATACTTTTTCCTGACACAGAAGCTAATCTAGTTGAATACATATTCACTGGCACTTGCCATTTTTCATCATATAAATAAACAAACATACATTCATTCTAATTATAAATTTCAATCTCTGCAATAAATGACACTGTTTAGTGTTGTAAACACCAAATGGTTTACATATTACTGACTTGCAGTGTCCACATGCAGTTTGCCTTCACTGTATTTAGATGATTATACCACTCATGACAAGCTCATATTTTAGTTTTTAGACATAGTTTTTGATGGTTGTTTGATATAAACTGATTTTTTTCAAATTCTCACACATATAAATCAATCAAGTCAGTCTTTCTTCCTCTTTACATAAACAGATATCTAAATTGTACAGTGTTATAACTTTATCTGATATTTTGTGTACTTGAATATGTGTTTGAGTGGCATTTTAGAAGTTGAGACATACAATATAGAACATTTTTTTTATAGATAACAACTTCTTTATTTCGTGAGTGCAACTCTTCGATACAGATTCTTATACCGTTGTCAAGCAAGAGTGACTCTTGACAACGGTACAGGAATCTGTATAGAAACATCGCACTCACGAAATAGAGAAGTTGTTATCCATAAAAATATTGTTCTATACTTGAATATTACATTACACAAGCATGACCTTTTGGCAGTCATTGTACATAATTATTATCTGTTACATATGAACTATTATAAATAAATTGTTATACATATCAACATGGAATGAATAGTTGGTTAAATTCAAATTGATCATAACAATATTTGATTTTGAAAACACATTTTCATGTTAATTCCTACAAACAAAAATACATAATGCTACAGTTATCTTTGAAAACTGTTGAATGAAAATCAGAGTATAAAGCTACAGCGAGATAGTACATGGTCTGTAAGGGAAAATATATTGTCAACATAATGTTAGCTAACAAATTACTTTTATCTTTTAATTCTATTTAAGTATCACTCACATCCTCTGGCAGTCAGTATGATCTGCTACTTGTTGAGACATGTCTCTGTAGTTTACTACTTATTTTAAAAGTGTCAACATTGTGCAAGAAATGGATCAATACATTGACATATATAATGAATCACAGCACTGACTGATGGAGACATAAGGTGTAGAAAATTGTGGGTAAAACTTTTCTTTCACATTTTGATGACTGGTATCTTTGCTGCAACCGACTAACCGCTTGGATGATAGTTGTATAGAGTATACTTTAATAATATAGTGTCAGAATTTTAAAACAAAATGAAATCAGATGTGCAAAGAACAGTTGAATAAAAGTTATTATTTGATGTGTAAAGAATATCTATAATTCCACCAACCTATGAAGAAGAAGAAGAAGTAAGGGATTACCTGAGAACTGCGCATGCGTAGAGAGGTCGGATTGTTAATAAATGTATACCTTTAAAACCACCAAATGGGTGGGAATCATCATGATGGGCGGCCACGTAATCTCTCAGTTCTTCTTAGGTTGGTGGAATTATAGTCAATCATCACCTTACAGGTAAGTCTTGCTTAACTGTTAATTCCACCAACCAAATCAGAACTGAGGATTCATTGAGATGTTTAGAGTAAGTTGTACATTTATTCCTTCTTTTTCAAACGACAATGGTTTAGTCAGTCTTAACATACAATCCAAATTATAAAAGTACAAAACATCCTCAATACAAGAGTGCAAAGCTGGGTTATACGTGAAGCTTTAAGAACACTTTCTCCAAAGTCACCAGGAGTTCCTATAATGGGTTTCTTATAATACATTCTAAAAGTACAGTCACTTTGCCAGCCGGCTGTGGTGAGTATTGTTCTTAGGGGTACCTCTGCCTCCGCTGCTGCGCTAGTAGAAGCTGAACGTATATTGTGGCGCTTAAACATAGCAGTATCCACACCCGCTTGAGTTAAAGTTGTCGTAACCCAACGAGCTATTGTGTCCTTAAACGTTTGTGAGGTTTTTGTGTGGCAGTGAGCAAGGCAGTTTCATCTCCTCTTAAGTCAAAATTTCTTTCCAGATATTGTTGTATGGAATGAACAACAGACAGTCTCTTGACTGAATAAGATGTCAAAGTTATCTTCCCTAAGTGATAACCTGGTCTACTCTGTTTTAAGAGGTCTCCAAATCTAATAACTATCTCACTGTCTCTCATTTCAAACTTTTGTACAATGTAAGAAAGGAACTGACTGTAGTCTTTGTCCAGTTAATACCAAAATCAGTATAAGTAATTTCTTACTCAAACACAAAAGATCTTCTAAAGTAGAGACGCTAAGGTCCTTAAGGTAAGCTAAGACTAATGAGACATCCCAGTATCTTGGAACAGGTCTCATATGGACCACTCCCTTCATGAATCACTTAACCATGGGGTGCTGTCCAAGGGGAGTGTCATTTATACTAACACAACTAGATAACGATGATCTAGCACTATTTATAGCTGAATAGTTCAGTCAAGAAATCAAAACAGTCTCTCAGAGTTGGTGAAATGGGACTGGCGCATTTGTGACTACCAAACTGCAGCCACTTCCTGAAATATGTCTCATACGGATTATCGTTGACTACATGATAATATCTGTAGTGTCTGTCGATAATTCCTCACTTTAAAAGTGTTCCCTGACAATCTGAAAACTGTCAAGCAGAGTTTCTGTCACAGGGGGTGAACTTTCTCCAGAAGATGATTTAGTCAGAGCAACCAGTTTGCTTTCGGTAGACAGTCGATTGAGAGTTCTAAGAGGAGGTTGAACCATGGCTGGGTGGTCCAGTGTGGAGCAATCACAAATGCATCGGCTTCGTCCTGATGAATTTTTATGCATTCTTCCCATCAGACGGACAGAAAATATGATTAAGCTCACTATGCCATGCCAGGGTAAAAAGCATCAACAGCATAAGTATCTGGGTCGGGGTGCCATGACACAGATTTGTTTGTTTCTTATTGATGCGGAAGGCAAACATATCGCGAGTTGGTACTGAACCAAACATTTTACAAACACACTGTAGAATATAATGCCCACTCAGCATCTTCCGAGAAATTTCGAGATTGCCAATCAGCCTCAGTGTTTAATGCCCCAGGTATGTGAGCGGCGGATATCCAGATATTGTGTTCTATTCACAACCACAAGGTCGGTGTGACACTGTTACATAAACGCTTTGTTCCACCCATGTTGTTAATATAGGCTACAGCTGTAGCATTGTCACTGAGAAGTCTAATGTGGATGTTGAATTCATCTGTACAAAGAGAGCTTTAAGTGAAAACCACAGGGCGAGGATTTATTGAGATAGTTTGTGCTCCTTCTGTCAGACCACCTCCCCCCAGTTTCAAAATCACCACAAACACCACGCAACCTAGATTTGAGGCATCAGCTTTCACTGTGACGTCTTGCTGTTTTCTATCAAGGGGGTGGAAAAATTCATCTTTGTTTTGTATCCGCCCATCTAAATCCTGTCTCCTTTCCAATGAAAGTGACATAAGTGCATCAAAATTACCCTTGGAGTTTTTCAGTTCTGCATTTTTCTGAATTTCCAGTCTCTTGAAATAGAGTGGAGCATACTGCACACCATGCCCTCTTCCATTTAACTGTCTGATCAAAGCACACAGTTCACGTATTGTGATAGATTGCTGATCTAAAACTGCCTTACATTGTGCAATGATCTTATCACTCTTTTCCTCTGTAAGTTTCACAGTCATTGCTTCACTATTTAAGTTGAAACCTAAATAGGAAATTTCCTTTGTTGGGTCAACACTGACTTATCAGGATAATAGTGAAGCCTAACGAATCAAGCAAATGCACAGTGTTTTCCACATTTCTGTTACATAACTGTTCATCTTCGCCAACTAACAAGGAGTCATCAATATATGCCGTGTTGGCATAGCCAAGTTTTCTTAAGTGAAAGAACACTGGTTTTAAGATCTTCGTATAAATGTTAGGTGCTGAACTTAGTCCGTTGGGCAAGCATGTACATACTGGTATAGTTCATTGTCCCACAAAGAAAACGGAGATACTTCCTATCTGAACTCTTTACAGGTATAGTAAGCATCCTTCAAATTCACAGATGCATAATAACCATGTCTCCGAACTGAATACAGGGCTGATTTCAAAGTCTCCATTTTGAAATGATGAGTGTCACCATTTTTGCTTAAATG